AAGCCACACGATCAAGACAGTTTTATGAAAGATAGATATTCCTTCTTTGTAGCACACTAAAGAATATGGGCTCTGGAGAAAAACGGAAAACAGTGATATCCTCATCCCTCATCTTTTGTGCCTTTTTTGAGCACATTCCCCATATGAAACAATACGACTTATGCTACTTCTGAAATGGCCATTGGTGGCCTTTGCCTGACATTTCTAGTGGGCAGTTCACATTTGTCCACTCAGTGGTGATATCGTCACGGTTCCAATAATGACTGAGTATTAGCTGTTCACGGTGGCTGTTCTCATGCACAGTTTTACCGCAAGAGCTACATCAAAATTTTTCAGGATGCTCTAATTTTGCTCGTATGTGCTGAATGTGTGTGTAAATTATGTGCCATAATTACAGCACATCAATTTGGCTAGTAGGAAAGCCAGCTATGCAGGTACAACAAAAAGGGTTCATAAAGTTTCGACAACCCTGTCAATGTCTCCTGCATCAAACTTCTAATTTCTGTACCTCTAGTTATGTTGCAATCACTTTACTACATATTAACCTATCATTAAACTTGGTCGTTACAATGAGCTGGCCACGAAAGATGGGTGGTGTTGGCTTTAATCCTCTATATTGCATCTGCTGTAAAAGTTATTTTTCATGGAAACTGCATAGGTTCTTGCAACATAATACTAAATTCATATAGATGTCTATTTTCTAATTTATAATAGTCCTTGCCCAGACGTACCCTGGAGTTCCCTGCGAGTAAGATACAGCACAGCATGAGGGCTTATCAATGGGAGAGGTTTTGGCCATGGTGAAATGCTTCCAGCATGACCGCGGCTTTTTGTGAACAAATTATACAAGGTTATAGGTAAGAAACATCAAGTGCATGCTAATGAAAAATGACAAATATTAGGGAATAGGCTAGTTTGCATTCCACTACTTGTGGGATGGCGTAACTTGGCGACTTGCATCATGTTGTACTACGAGCAATGGAAAGGAAAATAGCTAGTGCTTGAGAAGAGCCACAGTGTTGCTGGGATTTGCCATTCAGCGAAGCTGTACGTGCTCAGATTTGAAAGCATATGAATACATAGGAGACACCAAAGGCCTACACATTTGAACCATTGCGCTGTAAATGACATCATCGACTTATAGTGCTAGGTGAATTCTCATCTATGCTCTAAAGTGCAAACTTAAATGACGTACCCTTTAGCTTGAGTGATGGAAAGAGAATTAGCACTGTGTAACACGCAATGAATTTTCACAGGATGCTGCTTTGACCTATCAAACAAGTCTCGTGCAATGTTGATGATAACCTCTGGAAACAAACAACAAAAAAAAACTGCTAAACAAAATGTTCAGGTGTGAATGCTTTTAGAAGACAGGTGAGTGAAGTGCATATCGTGAGAGTATATATACGCTAGCCCACGGCCACACTGTTTCATGCTAAATGTGTATCCTCGTTTTCTTGCATTTATCATTGTGAATTTCCACAAGAAATTCCACGTAACTCAAGCTTACTACCACTCAGTAATAAAAAAACTGTGATTTAACAACTGTATCTATTGTTATACCCTAATGCTAATTATTCTGCATACAAAGTTGGCATTAATGTTTGAAGTATGGCAGCTAATTAGGCAGTTTGGTACATGGATCTTGACACACAAGTGTCAGCGCTCATGTCACGTTGTTTCTGTTATGTCCTTGTTTTGTTTGTGCTGTCTGTAAAGATTAAGGTTTGAGCTGTGCTTCGACTACACTTACCGCGCAAGCTAGTAATTTGTAACTGCTATTTAAAGTCCTCACGATGACTAGTTGAACAGCAAGCCCGTGTATACTTCTGAACATACATGGCAGAAAAGTGGTATTGTAATTGTCCGTACACGTGTAAGTGTAGGCTACACTTTGTGATCGTGCGATGCCAAAAGAGGATGGTTATGCCCACTGAAACCTAAATAACTAATGTGTTTGGTGCAACACCTTAAACAACCTGAACGATCGTGTAATGTGTTCAGTGTAGCATATAGGAAATTACACATGCATCGCTATCATTAAGAGTCGACAGTTGAGCTCCGTTTCAAGATAGTAGGTCGTCTACACAATGAACACAATAAAATGCAGCGATAAGCTCTTACTGTAATGCCAAGGGAGTTCCTCATGACGTCTTTTATGCACCACGTTGTGGTGAAATTGAAATACACCACAGTATTTCATCAAGGAGATCAGGATGAAACAAACAGGTAACCCTCACTTGTTCTTTGCTGTATATGACAACTGCAGCATTGTAAGTTGTTAGTTACAACCACATATGCTGTGAAGCGAAAAACACTGCAGCCCTCAGTATCTGTAATATATATGCACGAGTGTACACCTGAGAGTACTTCCACACTTTCAGCTGATACCCAGTGGCTTAATCAGTGAGGAGAGGTGAAAGGGACACGGAGACTCAAGATACACTCTAAGATCTGAACTTAAAAAGAAATGCATCCTATCACTGGTGTCACACAGGGGCACTAATCACAACATCTATATGCTCGAATGTCCTCTGAATCGGACATGTAATGGGTCAAGTTACATTGTTGGTCCTGTAGTGGCACACTTCTTCTACGTGTACATGAAACACGACCCAAGGTACGGTGCCCTCTCGACCTACTGTTGCTGATACATACCAGCAACTCTTAGCACAAGGAGCTGTAAGGCACTTCTGCACATTGCCGTTAAAAGATACAAGCTGCACATGCAAGTTTGTTCGGACATCGAGTGGACATCTCTATTTCGTTTCCTGTCTGATGGTGCACTTGTATTCCTGCTGCAATCAGTCATTGTGAGCAAACGTTGAAGTGCATCATGAGAGCACTGTGAGAGAGAAGAGCTGAACTTTCATTTTGCTAACCGGCAATGTCATCAGTTCACACGTGCATCCTTTCAACACTTGCTGGGCGATTCCTACCGCAGTTATGAAACCTGTTTACATCAACAATAAAGCAGCAGCTGTCACATGGCAATTGGCCCATATCATGACTGTTATTATCAGTGGGTGTACGCACAAACACCTGCTTCAATAATCATTTTACAATAAAAAAATAACTACACCCACTCCTCACAAAAGCATCCACACCCACTTTCATCAAAAATAAATCGTGTTTCTAGAGTGTGCCACGAAGTAAACAGGAGCCCAGTTACAGCCACAGCTTGGTTATCCAAAAGAATCGGCTTCTTAGAAAAGCCGACTGGGCAGCAGATTAGCCAACAAACTGCGCTGAATGTCAAACATTTTTAACTGTGCCCTAGTAGACGTATACATGTTGAATTCCATAATAAAGAAGTTCTAGTTGGGTTCACAGCTTATAGTATAGAAATTACTATGCAGCTTTATAGATAAAAGGCAGAAACTTGGAGCTAAAACTGAGTGCCATCCTTATTTCACACCATTTTCTATACTACCATGCAAGTCTTGCCCATCTTACAGATTATAATGAAATGACTGCTATGCAAAAAATTTCACCAGAGCTTACACTGTTAAATTTTCACTAATCTACATTTCGGAGAAACTCCTGAATTCATAACAATGCTGATGAAAAATAATAAAGTAACAGTACATAATGATGCTTCTACACATACCCCTGTCTTACATAATCTAGCCGGCCTTGGTTGTCCGTGTTTCGCAAACTCATCATTGTGAATTATGTCTACACAGTAATAAAAATTTCGAGGCTCTACCTCTTATTCACTCTATCGTGCATCCATGGTGATAAGTCTGTCTTCCAGACAATTGAATGTATCATGAGAAGTGAACATTATGTAAGGTCATAGCTAAGATAAACACGAGACTACTAGCACGAGCTGTGGCAAAATTAAACAAATGAAGATGTGCGTTTACACTGAATGTATCTAGATTCAAGTCTCATTTTTTAAAAGAGCCAGAAAGACAATGCAGTTTCATCAATTAAACGTGCGAAGCAGGGCTGGAAAAAATATAGTATTAGGCAAGCACGTCACTGTCTTCATTGTCACTCACGCAATGGCCGAAATTGCGAGCTATACAGTCGGTGAGCGACCTCAGGTCCTCTGTGCGGCCCATGGCACCATTGAAACCAACTCCATAGTTGTCGTACTCCGAGTCATAAGTAACACTGAGTGAGTCAATGCTGAGCAAGCGGCTGCTGGCTCGTGAGGAGATGCTCGTGTCATCCCCTTCGTGGCCTGCATCATTGAGAAGCGAGTTGAGGTCACTGAGGGCCCCTTCCGCGTCTGTTAGTCCTTGGTCGTTGGCGAGCGACGCGTCATCTGTCGTGTAGCCACCACCATGATTGTCCATCAGCAAAGCTCCTTCCTCGTCTGCCTCACTTGAACCATCATTGCTCCAGCTGCTTCGCGAGTCGAGGTGCAACAGTGGTCCGCCGAGAGGGTGGCCTGCTTCGGCCAGTCGAAGCGCAATGCCTGTGGAGTCCTCACCAAGCCTCATGAGAATGCGCTGGGAGTTTCCATTGAGAATGTCGCTCATAGCGTATCTTGGCTGGGCTGCCACACCGCAGTTCCCATTCTCCTGATAGTCTTCAATGTCCAACTCGTCAGTGTCCTGACGTACGGTCAGTAGTGGAGGCCTGACTTTGCCATGCTCCCATACAAGTCTCTGTGATGCTGGACTCGAGTTGCAGAGCTGCTTACGAGGTACCTGCTCTGGAGATTCAACCGGAGGCATAGTGACAGCACTGCTAACTGTCTCTTCATGAGTTCGTTTACGTGACCCTGAAGAGTTTGCGAAGTACACTGCAGGCTCAGGATCGTGTCTAGTGTTTGGAGCTGCTGCTTCAGGCATAGTGTCACTGTGAATAAATTTGCCGTCGTATTGCTGTCTGACATTGTGGCTAGGAGAGTGACCAACTTGTGGGAGACCTGGGCCAATGATACTGGGACTTGACTCATAGTCGCCCATAGACTGAGAGTATGGGTACATGCAGTTTGCTTGGGGACAGCTAGAATTTTTCAGCAATAGCAAGGGAAATCCAGGACCCGACAAGCTTCCACGTGGCGATGACGGATGGTCATTTAAACAGTGACTCTCCTCAATAAGGCTATCGCTGCTAGAATGCCCGTCATCAAGGTGGCTGCTCGCACTTTCTGACCGAGGATCGAGACTACAGTCGTCAGTCAGCACAGCCTCACTTTGGTCCCCAGGTAGTGAGGGAGGAGGCACTCTTATTTGTTTCAAGCTCTCCCAGGGGTCACCACGTGTGAGGGACTCTGGTTTGGAAGACACTCCGGTTTTCACTCGCGATCTAGACCCATGCGGAGGCGTGTTTGACACAATGATGGGCTTGGGCTGGGTGTATGGTAAAACGTCGTCATGAGCTGCCAGCGGTGCATGCCTTTTGGTGCTGCCCTGCCCAGCTATTAGAAGTGGAACCACTTTCTCTTCTCAGCTGGAGCGAGTTTGAGCTCAAATGCGGAGGCAGACTTCCAGAGAGGCTATTCTCCTCCGGCTGAGGCACTGAGCTCGACTGACCACCAGAGGCACCGCCCTCCCTTGAACTGGGTGCCGAGCAGCGAGTTTTCCGGTCAATGAGAAAGTACGTTGTCATTTCTCCCTTGCCCTTCACCTTGACTTTACCACGGACACTGGAACACGTAGGGCCCGTCTCGTAGCAACTGGTAGACTTCCTCGGTCACCTGAAGCAACAAATTTGATGCTAGATTAAAATACAAGATGTGCTGTGAACAGCATGGCTACAAGCACAAGCACAGTACTATATTATACAAAAGTTATTGTGCCACGATTGAAGAGGCACTGTAATATGCAACCCGTGAATGACACACTAAAGCATGCAACACAAGAGGTGTGATGAACAAAAAGCTGTTCACAGTAAGAATACTAAAATTCAAATCACTTCCATCACAGACACATGGGAAGTCATTTGCCATGAACAATGAACAATATCACATTAACTAAAATTATACTGCCAGGTATCACATCAGAAATAATGTAAATAGAATGTTAGATAAATGACAGAACACTACACTGTGATGTCTGACTAGCCCTATTCACTTCATCAAAAGGCCATGTTGCTTGTTCAGTGTTTACCTACTCACCTGTTTGTCTGCATTATTACTTCAAAGTGAGTAAATCTGCCAGGAGAAAAATCTTGAGAATACAGGAGGTATGTTCAGAGTCTCTGGGACACTTTTAATGCTGCACAGTACTCCTGTGCTATAACACAATGTTCTGTGACATCAAAATTCACCTGAGTGTGGTTGGGCAGGCCTGTAGAGTCCATGCGACTAGCCACGTTGACTGTGTTGCCCCAGATGTCGTACTGTGGCTTCCGGGCTCCAATCACTCCTGCTACTACAGGACCAATATTGAGCCCTACAAAATAAATATGCATATGACTAGGATACCAAAATAGAACTCTTTCGAACTACTCTTTCAAAACAAGTGTGAGGTAACTTAATTTAAAACCGAGACTGAGGGCAAGTGAATGAACAGCAACTGTAGATATATTGATGAGCAGCAATTTTTAATGGTATCCCTAAAGATTTCAGCCTGGCTCATCCCCTGGCTTGCTACTCTAGGTGTCGGGTAATGACTCTAATACTACAATGACCACATATAGAACACACATATACAGTTGACAACCAATAAATCGGATTGCACGGGGAACGTACCTAAGTCCGAATTGCACCACAAAAAAAAACTTTTTATTGAAACTTCAGTGACCTGGCAGTTGGAAAAAGCTGTCACTGCGTCGCTGCACACACCTCCGCTTATGTGCAACCAAGTCTGTCTGCATTTCTGCCAGTGTGGTATGCTCGCTGTAGGACCACAAGTAGGACGACAAAAAATTCTGAGGACTTGAGACAGGTCGGCATGCAACGAATCTGGAGCACACGGTGTGTCATCATAGTCAGAATCACTGTTTGGCATGTGCAGAACCTGCTCAATTATGTCGTCGTCATTCAATTCGGCACATGACAACAGAGCACTGTCGACATTTGGGAAGTCTTCAAACGTAACTGTGTGAGGAATTGGCACACCACAGCCTCACATGTCGTCATTAACGTCCGCACTGGAGCTCATTGGGCTGGGCAGAAGGTCCCGCCCTTCACTTACAGTGTCCCGTTGTTGAACTCTCGAAACTTTCAACTCATGGGCAACTTCCACTTGAGGGTGACCACTGAGCACTTCCAGAATAATGGCAGCTTTCCTTGCCGTGGTTAGCGTGGTGCATGTCTGCCACGTTTCATCATCGTTGGTGCGGCCATAAACACTGGCTGTGAGGGCATTATTGGTGCCATGAGAGCACAGGTTGTGCAAGAGGTGCTACAAACAGCTTGGACAAGCTGCCCCACATGAAGCTGGTGAACAAGAGACGTGCTGACCATTATCGAGTCATAGTAGCACTGACTAGGTAAGCCAGTGCCAACATCAAGTTGAGCATTAAAATGAGGAAACAAAATAGTGAGCACCCATATTTTTCTGTCATAACAAACATAAACGTGAGGCTAGTCATGCCATGTCCGAAAGCAGTCTGCTTTATTTCGACCCACCTAGTGCTCAAAGGCACTTTGTCTGTTATGCCAACTCGGCAATCGAGCCATTGTTACTAAAAAAAGTTACATTGAATTACAGTGCGTACTACCAAGTACCATAAGAAATACATGTAAAGTACAAGACTTCCAAAAGATGTACACAATTATAATTAATGACAAGTACTTCATTATATACAAGCCTGTCTAAATGTCTGGTTTCATCTGTAACGGGTGAAACAATTGCAGCCGTGTTAAACATTGCTACTGCTTCGTATCATCATCATCAATATGAGCTACTGTTTCATATGGCAGTTTTGACTGTTAAAATAACAAGCAAAGTTGGAAAACAAATGTGAATGTGCATTTAAAAGGGGATTAAGTCAGGTTGACAAATTTCACATCAAGTAGATGAGCTTACAAAAAATCGCCAAGCCTGCAGAACACGCAGCACAGTCACAGCAAAAGCTGGTAGGATGGCCTTTTTAGAGCTTGTAGATGTTTGGGCTACTAATGCAAATACACATGCAAAGTATCCACTATGCCATGAATAACCGTAACTTTCATGAAGTAGGGAAGCACCCACTATGCCATTATTCGTCATTCTGCGCATAATTGAGGTACCTGCTGCACACCTGCAAGGCATTATGTACACTTTGTGCTAAGGCTAATGACAAATTATGGCTGAGCATTTTGTAATGGGCTGAGTGCGTTCAATGACGCACTCAATGTGCAATTTACAATGTGTGATGCCTGGTGGTTCTTTCAATCTTCTACAATGCTATATTAGTTGCATATGTTGACACGATTTGTTTCCCAACATGACACTTCTATTGGGTGTTTTTGCCAAGGAGTTTCAATTAATAGTGCGGCTCTGTGGTAGAAGAATACAGTTACATCTGCTTATAATGAGCCTTCATATAAGGAACTCCTCGATATAACAAAATTTTTCTATTTCTACCGTTTCTCCATGAAAGCACATGTATTTACGACCTCTATGAAACAAAGTAACAGCGGGGGACAACCTTGATATAACCAATTTTCCCCACAGACAATCTAGCAATTTCGCCACAGATTTTGTCATTTTGGTATGAGCATGCATCTTCCGTGAGCACTCTGCCGCGGGGCCATCCATGTTGATTTGAACTTGTTACGGAACATGGCGGTTAAGGCAAAAACTCGCTGAGAGTGCCCATATAATTGCTATCACAATACCATATTTACGCACATAACTTGTGCCCTCGCATAATTTGTGCACCCTTAATATTTTGCCAGCTTTTTGGAAAAAAAGTATTTACTCGAATATTCCGCGCTCCCCGACCTGCCCGGGCCACCTCAATGGCGCACGCATCTTTGGACATTTTGATGCTTCGCCCGGGTAGCGTGTTTCCATAACACGCGGCCGGGTGCAACCGTATGTTACGGGAATCATCGTCGCAGCAGCGACGATGATTCTCGATCGGACTACTCGATCAGTGACTCCCGCTAGACTGCGTGTGACAGGATCTGACTGGTTAAAGTACATGCTAATTATTTAAAAATTAATGTACACTTCGTTTGTGCTCCAATTTCTTTCTCTTTTTTTAAAATATATATACTGCACACATAAGGACTGTGACACAATATTTTGTATGCACTCTCGAAATCCCCGCATAACTTGCACACCCCTTTCTAGGGCCTTAGAATCGCAATAAAAGTGTGCAAATATGCGAGTAAATATTATAATAATGCAGTTTTAACCACTAAATAAGTGTTTTGGGTTAGCTCTGCCTTCAGTCCTCTTTTTGTATAATTTGCATGTTTAGTTTTCAAATTTTGTACTGAACTTGCATATAACAAAATCCTCTTTAGAACGAATTTTTCCGTGAATTCATCAATTTTGTTACATACAGGTTTAACTGTATTTGACTGCCATGCAAAAAGCCTTTGGCTCAAAGCTCATCCGTTCCTAGATGGGATATCACCATAATATATAAGGGCCTCAAACACCATCACTGTCACTACAACCATGGCCGAGAGCACAGAGGGAGTGCTTACCAATGGCTAGTTAGGTGGTAGGTAGAAGCGAAGAATAACACTACCGGTGGCATTTTTTGTCAACCTGGAAACCACTGGTGCCCAGGTTGACAGGTTGACACCATCGCTCCATTTTGAAAAGCGTGGTTCAGGGCACAGAACATTGCCCATTTTTACAGGTGCTAATATTTGGTTGATGATGACAGTCACTAAGGGTGGCCAACATTGATAATTTTTTTTCTCATCCTTCATTTTTTTTTTACTTTGGGAGATAGTGGTTATTAGGCAGCAGTGGACAACTACTTTATTGCCGTTGTAATATGATAACAGCTTTCGCTGTAAAAGTAGACCTCAATATGTGATAATGGAAAGGACAGAGAAGTCAACCCATCATTTGGTGCCTTGCAGATTTCTGGTATTTCCATCTTATTTCATGCTGGATACGTACAATACTGCTTTCTAGCCATGGTCTGATACCTGTTTCAGTAATCCAAAAGATAATTAAACCCCAGTGTAGCATTTACCATTCCAGAGCCAAGAAATAATTTACGCTTTCGAATTGGTTGATCAACAGAGATGATGTTGCTGTATGTGGCTTTTTAATGTCTGCCTTGCACTGGCTTAGGTTATAACAGAGAGAAACCACTGAGACAAAAAAAGGAAGATTAGACTAACCAACACGAAGCATGAAATTGTTGTAAGAATTTTCATTGATGTCGGCAAGGCAGTCCTTCATGGTGAAGACAAGCTCTGCCATGGTACTCATGTAGCTGGCACCAGATTCATGGTCATCCTGCAAAAAAGTATAAGAAGTACAGAAAAATGAATACCATTTATGATGAAACTATTAGCACCACCGCAGCTTCGCAAATACAGCTTTTGCCGAGGACACTCAATTGCGGTGCCGATAAATGTGGACCAACATATGAAATAATGATTGCATACTTTTTTAACACTCATAAGCATGATCTTGTATGGAATTTTAATGATATGCATTGTTTCAAATGTGCTATAAGCTACTGCTTGTTTCTGAACATAGCTATGATGTGCACTCTGTTTACGGTGCAGTCAAACTGGATAGAAAACAACATAAAATGGACATTGCATCTTCGTTGAACAAAATAGTGCTGGACATATATAAAAGACTTTCTTGCGATTGACTGATGCATTAACTGACATGATAGAATGTAACACTGGGAGGGTTGGTGAGACACTTTTGTCTGACCCCATCAAAATATTGTCGCTGCACCCAAGTACATATGAATCTCTTAATCTGTCACAGTACCTAGGGACTGGATTTCTAGTTAACGATGGCTCCACATCCTGGTAAGAGGTCTGAAAACCTGAAACCATTTTCTCGCGAAAACAAAGCGGGAGTTGTCCAGCATAAGTCGCACAAGCATGCGACCGTTTTACATGGAAATATATAATGGCAGTATTTATCCTGCATGCACAGGCATGCTATGTGCTTACAGAATGGCAGAGAGTGAAACAGTAAGCAGGCAGAAAATGGTAGGAACAGCAGATATGTGCAGTATCGTAGGACAAACTTCCTCGCCAAGCCACTATGAACGTCACATAATTGCTCTGGTATGTCAGCTAAATTATGATATGTTCCCTCAACACACTTCATTAACTCTCATGAGTAACTTTGACATGTGGGAGTGACATTGCCCTAATTGACTTGTTTATTTGTGTGGTCGATATGACAAGTTGGCAAATGGTGAAGAAAGCATTCTCACCCCAATCCGTGCATCAGGCATTAGACCAATGGCAGCCATATATGTGCTCCCAGTTGTCTTGATCTTGTCTATAGCTTTGAACTGGTCACCATCCAGAAGCTAGGACAAAGCATGGGCAATGTCACAAGTGTCATAGCAAAGACACAACGAAGCCTTCCCAACACTCGAGTCACATTAAGATTTTTTGGTTACGATCATGCTCATTTGCGATTAATGTTTGCAACCGTATTTGGCTTATTTGCACTGGTTCAGGGTAAGAAATAGCGAGTTACAGTGTCCAGGTGTGACTGAGTTACATTATTGTAACACTAGACAAGCTGAGGTACTGCAGCACAGCAAAATGACGTAGAGGGAAAATCCTGTTGAAACTACATTCACACCATCTTAATATGATTTCTGATCACAAAAACGTTTAAAAAACATAAGCAGTGCACATCTAAAAACACACAAGCTCGTTTGCAAAGTGTCCTGGTCTCGAATATACTGGTTTTGCTGATTCCAAGACTGTCTGTCAATCTCTTTATTGAAAAAAGGGTGTTCATGTAGAAATGAAACTAAAGACCAAATTTTCCCCCAAGATTTCATTTTTGCGTCCGGTCTGTGGTGCTGATGTTGCTGTGGATGTCATCGTATCCTTGATCAGTCAAACTCACTTGAGAAAGAACAAAATTGAGTGGAATATTCACTACAAATCAGAATATGTGGTTTCTTGCAGCAAAGCCACAGTACTACTCTCCTTCATTTTGCTGCAGATCTCAGACCAGAAGATGCAAAGCAAAGTCTGCTCATACTGGATATTTTCAATCTTTCTGCTAAAATTTGAACTTTTATCTGTCAATACTTTTAGCAGTTAGTGCTTGCAAAAGTACTGCTCCTGGCAGCATCAGCCATTCTGCTGATTGGGATGTTCAACTTTATGAACCGGAAACATATGGACAAAAACATGTTTTGCACACAATTATCTTGGAATGTAAAGTAGCAAAGCTTCACAAATATATGGGCAGCCTGAAACTCAAAGCTTCATTGTCCAAGACTCTCAAACACATGCATCACAATGCACTGCAGAAGCGAAAATATAGGGATGTGGTCTTGCTGCTCATACATTTGAATCTAAATTTACATTGACACTAGGACCTAAAGTGAGAGAAATGGCACACTACCTGGTCAAACTCTGCAATTATCTCATTCAAAAGCCTCAGGCACTCGACACCTTGATTATTGCCATCTAATTCTATGTAGAACTCGTGGAAGTTTGGGATAGAGGCGAACATGACACCGACTCGGCTGTATGACTGATGATACAGTTCCTGGAAAAAGAAGAAAGCACGAAGCGTGGCGAGAACATTGTGTCATCTATGCTTATGGAGAATAATAAAAAAAAAGAAAAGAGAAAAAAGCACATGGACAATACACTCGTAGCACGACTACTTCTTCCATATTGCAATGTCCACAGCATGTGATATAGCAGGGACTAGACTTGGGAACAGACCAATGTGTGGCTTTAGCTCTGCAGCATGTCTGACGGTACACTGGTTGCAGGACTGTAGGTATGATAGCATGCTGGCATGAGGAGCATGGCACTGACACACCCTGCTGCGTAACCTGTAGCAACACAGAGTGTTGTATTACATGCTCTGAAGACAAATTATTTGTACACTGAAAATCGTTCATCTTATCTGTTCATTGCCAAGCGTAACCTCAACTTAGGATGTGCATGCCTGCTCAAAAGATAAGTTTTACCCTATGCAGACTGTATGCAGCATCGCATGCTCCCCTATAAATACTGTACGTGCTTGCAAGTTGTAAAGTTGCTACAATCAAGTGGTCAACAAGCAACTTGAGACATCTTGTGGAGCAAGACTGACTATAGAACAGATCTGGTCCAATAAATAGACGGACTACATTTTATTCCTCATGCGAGCCATGAGCTAGTGGTTTGAAGACGAATCCTAAATGCCCTAATCTGCAAGTACATCGTAGCAACTTAACTACAATCTATCTCGTGCAATTTTTATCAAAGCATCTTCCACTGAAAGCAAGCTTTACTGGTGGCTGGTAACTGCATGCAACCAGCTCATAACCAAACAGTTGTACCATGTTGTTCTTTAGCTGATTGTCCAGGAAATGTGTTGCCACATGTGCAGGAAGAAGGTTGAACAATATTCTTCGATTGCTGCTCTCCAAGTCATGCATTTCCTGTTTTTCTTCATTAGCCTAGAAAGAGAAAATTAATTATTATGCAGACAGGCAGGCCTAGCACACTTTGACGTGCTACACCACAGTATGGCATGGCATAAAAATGGAGCAACTCGCCACGGTGGTCTAGTGGCTAAGGCACTCTGCTGCTGACCCGCAGGTCGCGGGATCGAATCTCGGCCGCGGCGGTAACATTCCCGATGGAAGCAAAAATGCTTGAGGCCCTTGTGCTGAGATTTAGGTGCACATTAAAAAACCCCGTGAGGTCGCAATTTCCATAGCCCTCCACTACAGCGTCTCTCATAATCATATCATGGTTTGGAGACATTAAACCCCAACAATTACGTATTATTAAAGAATGGAGGATTGATGAAAAGGTGTGCATGCATACAACCGTGCAATGTTGCAGAATTTTCAAAGCGGTGTTTCCAGTCTTGTGTCCCATAAAACATTCAGAATGGGCATTTATATAATTCTTCTGCTGCACTTTGAACAAGTGCAGTCCAGGCAAGGAACCCAGCATAAAGTAGTCCAACATAGTGCTTACAAAGGGATGCAACAGCTGTTTTGCCAGGGGAACCCCCAACTTTTTGTGTTAGAAATAAACCCAAATATCAAATATCAAAAAATGTATAGCTGTAATGTGGTACTATACAAAACATAGAAAAATGAGCCCTTATTAGGCACCTTGATGGGCTCTCATCGTTTGTTACATAAAAGCACAAGCAGTCTTGAATAATCAAAGCAATCAAATTCATCACATTTCATTCCATCCGGTTTGTTGTGCACCTTGGAAATGAATACGATACCAGTGATTCATATCATCTTTAGCAAGAAACATTTAATGGCTAGTGCAATACAATCTTGGTCTGGCTTTTCTTCATTCTGAATGTCTGCATAATAGGTCGATGTTGATTGTTGAAAAAAATTGGCCCGGTATCTGCATGTTACACTGTAAATGTCATCGAAAAATGATAGTCTTGCGTCTGGAAAGAGTGAACAAAACGTTAACTTCATGTTCTGTGCAAGAAAATTGGTGAATGGTATTCTGGAGGTGCTACGTTAGAGTGCTTCGAGCGTGTAGCGGAGGCAAATGAGCGCATAAAGTCAGGTCACACGTGAGATATGAGCACTATCTGGCAGTTATCATGAAAAACGAAGCACACGGGCGCGCAGGCCCGTCTCGGAAGTGATAAGGTGTAGAACGCAAGGTGACAGGTAGGTGCCACCACCGTGTCGTCTTAGCAAAGCGTTAGGTAACACTTGCCTTTTCGTGCAAGCGTTGCGCGGTCAGCGCAACGTGATAAACGCTACGGTCCTTGGAATTACTTATGTATGCCTTTTCTATAAGAGACACACAGAATAGTGACGCGTTATGGTGCCTCAGATGTGCACAATGATTGCTTTTTAATTGACAATCACACAAGTGTGAATGCTGAATCTTGAGCAATATAGGTGGTCGCTGCGAATGGGGTCGGCCGTTTGGAGTATTGTTTGGCCACTTTAGTGCCGTTTAGGGTACCGTTAAGGGCGGACAAACAGATAAATGTACAGACAGACAAATAGACAGACTAGATCAAAATTTTTGCGTCAAAGGTCCCCAAGAAAGACTATCATCTTTAATAGCAATCCAGAAACCTCTTAGTGCTGCTCTTGTGCCACGGAAGTGCTCATTTTGAAATAATGTCACGTTCTAGTGGTTCACATCACGTTAGCAGACTTCAAATTACCCGCCTCAAGTGGAACCTTTTACGTCACTGTTGCTGTTGAAAACATTGCCAGACTTTACTGCGCGGCTGCCGACACTTGTAGCAGCAGAACAAAAGTAGCGGGAGCCACAGCAGCAACAACATCCGCTGAACAACTTCCTGCCATGGCCTCTGAGATGGCAGGCGTGTTTGATTCAACTGGGCCTTGATAGATGGCACAATCTGTCGAGTTTAACCAGGCGAAAATTGAACTTTTGAACCACTCGCACCATTCCCCATAATAACCCCCAGCGTTTTTTTTTTCATGAATCAAACAGAAATGAACAAGCAGCATTTCATTACATCTCTTGATGCATGGAAAGTTCTTTGTTTAGTGCAGCTAGTTAAGTCTGACATCACCGGGATCATTTTTTTTTTTGTCCTACTCACGGTGCATGTGTTCTCATGCATTAACATTAATTTCTCAGTAAGTAGAGCACTGCTAATAATAATATTGTTGTTTTAGACGTTGTCATACATTGAGCTTTCACTCTGACTTAAATTGTTGAACAGGGAGCAGCTTTTGGAGCAGCAAAATTTCGACACTGCGGAGCAGCAAAATTTCGACACTGCAGCAGAAGAACCTTGGTTTGACACGGTTAGCAGCATTTAATATGTTGTCTTAGGAGCTTGAAAAAACCAATTTGTAGCAATTAGGGGGCACGAGCACATATTTAAGTCGACTTACTATATACATAACACTAGGAGAAAGTTTTTTTAGCATATTATCGCCTGGTATGAACTACACTATCTCTTTACATACCATGTGGCCCTATCTAGCCAGAGTAATACAACATATGAAATAATAATAAAAAGGTTTTGCAAATAAGGTTTACTTCATACACATTGAAAAAACAAGAATAAAGAAGCATCACACTTCTCAAAAATAAAGAAAATGTGATAGCATAAGAATAATTGTTACATGGCAATAGGCCTTTGCTAAATAAGATCAGTGATATGACTGAGTAGCTAGACTACTGCTCTAGTTATTTTATAGGTCTACTTATTTAGCTTTTCAAGTTTCCCTAGAGCTCTCAGTAGCTACGCGTTATTCTGTCTGCGGGATGTCACAATAAGCGCCTTTAACTATCTGGTCGGCCGCGTGGCAGCCATAGCGTCAAGTATGCTGCACGCTTTTAACGCACGACAACAAAAGCGCGCTTCATTGCCATTCACGGACCACCTCATGCAAGATCGTCTTCAAGAAAGCGACGCAAGAGCCAAGAAATCTTGCTGACTATCTCATGAAAAATGCGCGTATGGTACTACTAGCATAGTGCCGTTCTGGGAAATGATTTAAACTCCAACCAAAAACTTTCTGAAGAAACCTGATGCTAGGGAACCGACTTGGCTCCTTCCTCAGGGCAAACTGGAACTACGTAGCAGCAGCGTTTTCAAAGCATTCGCGGGGCGGTTAATGCCTCCCCCTTCTCTCTCTGTCATTTCGACGCAAGCTTTCTTTTCATTATATGGATGATTGCTTTTGCGTCATGAAAATGTCTGAAATTGAAAACTTCAGACAGCATCTAAATTCCATGCACCCAGCCATACAATTCATGGCCAAGTGTGAAAGCGATCACTGCCTGCCCTTTCTCGACATCAAGGTGGCAAGAAAGCGCAACGGCCTGGAGTTCTCTGTTCACAGGAAGCCAACGCACAGCGGCTGCTACCATCAATATGATTCCTCCCATCCCGCCTGCCACAAGGCCTCGGTTGTGACCACGCTACTTCAGAGAGCTAGGAACGTATGCTCCAATGACACGGAGCAAAAGAAAGAAGAGGCTCACGTAATTGTGAACCTCAGAAAAAATGGATACCAAAAAACTTCATTCGAGTCGCCACCCGCCGTGCAGAGCAACAGAGAATACGGAAACCCCAATCAACATTGATTGGCAGCCCTCCGAAATGCGTACCAGTCCCATACGTCCAGGGAACCAGCGAGATGTTGGCGCGGATCTTCAAAGAAGAAGTGGTTCGCATCGCGCATGAGCCTTCGTGTACGCTGGGCTGCCTCCTCCCTGCCCGAAAGACCGGCCAACAATGGTCAGAACCCCAGGTGTCGTTTACAAGATCCCGTGTGCCAAGTGCCCTTCTTCGTATACCGGCGAGACAAAAAAACCTACCGAAACGACTCAAGCAACACGCCAACAACATGTGGAAGCTCTACAAAGAGCTACAAAGAGCACAGCTGCAGAACATGCTGAGACGTTGGACCACCGGATTGATTTCGAAGCGATGACCATCCTTGAAAGTGAGACTAACTGGAGGAGAACGTTACTACTTGAGTTATGGCATATACAGCGAACGAACCAAAACATTAACCGCTCTCTTGGAACCCTTCCCCAGTGTATATACACGGTCTGCGCTCCACGCCGAAATGAGAGAGAGAGATAGAGAGAGAAGGGGGTCATTAACCACCCGCGAGTGCTTTGAAGACGCCGCTGCTACGTAGTCCCAGCTTTCCCTGAGGAACGAACCAAGTCGGTTCCGAAACGTCGGGTTTCTTCAAACTTTTTTGTTGAAGTTTGAATCATTTCCTAGTTTTCATACCCAACCAGACAGACATCTGTTGAATGTTTACATTCAAGTAGTGCCGTTCTGAGCGCACTACAAGCTTTAATTAACGGACGACACAAAACGTGCTTCATGTGAGTCCTGTGTACCTTCTCGAGCAAAACTGCTCAAGGATTGTGGAGACGCTTTGCAAGCCGGATAGTTGTCGCCGCATTGACACAACATACCCACTTCAGCCACGCACGGTATAGGGTGTAACGGTATGAACAGTCTGATGGTAAACGCGCTTAGGTGACTGCATGCAGCAGCATCAATGCAAGAACTGCAACAACCGAAATAAACAAGAAACCTGAAAGTCATCCTCACACGGCATGCCACCCGATAGCTCCCGCTATGCACCAGCACCAGAACACAGCCCAGCGAGCAGAAGCAGTATGTTAGGGGCACAGTAGCCCATTTTTTAGGGGGTCATGCATATTTTCAACAGCCCAGAGGAGATTATGGTGATCCAGAGGAGGGAGCCTCATTAGAAAAGTGAATAAAAACAAGCTTGGTTGCATCCGTGTATTCTGTGAATGACTTATTTTCTAGGTATCCATGACACTGCTCGAGAAATCCTTTTATCAACTCCGGCTGGTTTTTTTTCCCACTGAAGCCAACGTGGGCATAAAAAGTCTTTCTACTACTGAGGCTGTTCGAACAGTTTGGCACAATTACAGTAAAAGTTCATTGATTCAAGCTTACTCCCCAGTCCCAGCACAGCCCAGTGTACATCTATGGGGAAAACTGCCAAAATATAGAACATGTCGGTATCCACAATGATTAATTTGAACGGGGAGTTCTCTGGCTTTTATCACTCCACACAGAAATCAGCCCAGAGTGATCACAATGTGTTGTAAAACCAAATCAAACCAAATTTACTAGGAATTCAGAACAGCAAAACAGCAGCACTTGTCCACAGACGAAAAATTGAGCCCAACACTCTGCTGGAGCTTTCAGGAAAGTTTCAAATGATTCTCATGGAGTCACGACAGAAGAACTGTAAGCAAATGCAAATTAGTACTCCTCACTTTCAATTTTGATTTCAATAATTATTCCGTGTAAACAAATGTTGGAGCATAAATAGAATAATACAACTGAACAATAAGGCTTATTGATCATATGAATGAATTTCGCTGCTTGTTTTTGCTGTATAATGGACTGATTAATTAATTCTATTTTTTGTTAGAGCTATGTAAACTTAATTTACGAACTCACCTGCCACAAGCAGGTGAGTTCGTAAATTGTCGATTACGAGTCCACAGTGCCTTCTGTGGGTTGTGTCCGTGCTTTCATTGAGCTTTCACTGTATAGCAATTTTCATGCTTGTGGAGCAGCTTTATGCATGAAAATGGAATCTAATAAAAAATGTGCAACATGCACAGCTATCTCGCTCCTGCTATATGCGCTTCTTTGTAACAACGACATTTTCCTGTGGTCTCATAAGGCCTGTTTATTAGGTTACTTGTATATTATTGCATAGTTGCACTGAGATCTCATAGAAATAGGTGAAAAGAAAAATTGGTATAAATGCTGGAATGAAAGAAAATCGTAATACGACTCTCGGCGAAGGAGCTTAGTCGCTGTTTATTTTTCTCCCTCTTTTCAAATCTTTCATATGATCAAGCAATTACACATTCGCAATACTTGCTATGTGATCTTTAGTCAGAAGCACTTCACCTTACATCTGTCTCACACGATGACATGATATAAAACTAGTATGGAAATAGAATGTGTCATAATTTTCTTGCAACAACATCTGTCTCACACGATGACATGATATAGAACTAGTATGGAAATAGAATGTGTCATAATTTTCTTTCAACAGCCAATAAGAATGAGCAACATGTGACGTCGCAAAGGTGGATATCCTAACATTACCTGCAGGTTCCAGAGAAAATCAAGTCGAGCTGTCCACTCTACTTGGCGACCATGGATGAGCACGGCCATCAGCATGTGGATGATTCCCACCACAGCAAGTACATGCAGTGGTACCAGAGTGCTGCATACAGTTAGAAGTACAGTTGATGATCGGACAATGCAAGCAATAAGGTAATTAATCACTCTGTCACAGTATTTGATTTGAGTAGATTATCATCATCAGTTTTAATTTTGTCACAGAAACTTGGATGCCATCCACAGCCTCTCGATTTGCTCAGTTTCGAACGAAATAGCGTGAATTTTTATGCATTACCGGTGGGGGGGCCCTCCAGGCATTAAGCCAATACAAATTACTCAACTCCTTAACTGTCTTGGACGAGCACAGTTCGTCCTTGTCAGACTGTGCCCGACTGTTATGACAAGTGCGACTTGTCCGCTTGAGATTATATATCCCCTATGAGCATTTTGAACAAAACTCGCTTATTTCCAAGCTAGCATGTGTGTCGCTTCACAGGTGGCAGCACTTGCTTGGCAATTTTTAAACTTTCAATGGCTATTTCGCATTTTTTCTCAACTTGTGTTTAGAAAATGTTGTGCAGTGAGCACGGTGCATGTTGCTCGTGCATCATTGCAGAAAGGAAGCTTTTCATCATCATACAGCTCTTCAGGTCTTAATTATACAGATACCGAAGTTTACTTGGCTTGACGTGCCATATATTTGCCAGTTTCTCAACGATGACATTATTTCGTGAAAGACAGTGATAAACCATAGTACAATAAAGTTAGTTATGCTAATTTGACTTGATATAAGCTTCCTTTTATATCTATAATTTAAACATGCTTTTATGGAATCAAATATTCAATATTAAGTTGAAACAAAGTAAGCTTTGGGAACAGAAAAACTCTCGATGATTAAAATGGTTAGAAGGTTATGAAAACTTGGGACCATTCGCATTAAGTCAATCTATTTGACTTACTGCTGGTCATCTGGTCTGCACATCAAATAATACATTGAGCGCCGTTTCTTTTTTTTTCTTCCTTTACATATAACCAGATTTCTTTAGAACAGTGTGTACTCAACTAATATGCTTATACGGTAAAGCCCATTTTCTTCCTAATAGCATTCTCATTTTTATTGAATGGTAGCACACGAGTGTGCTCTGATGCTCTATGCATTCACTGCAATTAAAACGGCCATAAACGATGGCCCGAGGCTGAAACCAACAATTTGACAAAAAAAAAAAAGACTAGTCTTTGCCATGATGTGCCCCGCCGCTGTACGTCTAGTGGCTAAAGTACTCGGCTGCAGACCCGCAGGTTGCGAGATTGAATCCCGGCTACGGTGGCCTGGATTTTCGATGGAGGCGACAATGCTGTAGGCCCGTGTGCTCAGATTTGGGTGTACGTTAAAGAACCTCAAATGGTCCAAATTTCTGGAGCTCTCCACTATGGCGTCTCTCATAATCATATGGTGGTTTTGTGTCGTTAAAACTCCACATATCAATCAATCTTTGCCATGATGATTACAGGTGCCATGGTTGAGTTGTTATATTGTTCATTAGAACCTGAAGTCTACCTTATTTGGCCGCTGTTGCTTCTCCATATTTTTGCATAAAACCTTGGTGTTCTATCAATTTATTTGAGCAGAGTATTTACACTGCCTTGTATCCTGCCACTCAGTAAATCGGCCAGTCTTCAGTTGTGTGCACCATGGCAGACGTTATGCTGCTAGCGATCTCTAGGATAAATAAAAAGCGCTAAATGGACAGGTCGGAGTACAGCCGCGTACTTCAAGCTACATTGCTAAACCAAGCGTTTGACATGTGCACAACGAAAAGAAGGGAAGAAGAGCGAAGGGGCCGAGCCTCACTGGGCATTGTGGTCGTAACAGAAGAAGACCTGGGCATGCGAGATTTCGACGAGGGCGAGGAAAGCGATGCCCATAGGGGCAGAGCAGCAACACTTTGACCAGCAGTGGCAGGCGCAGGAAGGCTGAAGCCGGCAGTAGCGTCAGCAGGCAGCACACCACCAGGTACTGTGGCACCGGGCACAGCCGATGCGGCCACTCTGCACCGTGAGGCTTGGCAGGCGTTGCCGCCGTCTCATTCGCTTCCTTGTGGCAGTCGGCCACACATGATACCTGCAACGCAGGAGGATGGCAGCAAACTGTCTTCCGTTCCCCTTTCAGTCACTTGTACTACTGACACGTCTTTTTAAATAGATCTGAGACGCAGCTTTTTTTCTAAACTTCTTCGAACTATTACATTACATCTATTAAGCCAGTTATTCTGCACAACAGTGAGCCAACATAATGAAGGTATGGAAGCTACGCAAAGGTTTCACTGCAAAATAAAGCAAACAGACGTTTGACTTTCGCTTTCTCTTCAAACAATATACCCTCTCCTGGCAAATAGATAGAAAGCAGATAAGTAACGATATCTAACACTGGAAATGTCGACCTTGTTGAACATGTCATACATGAGCTGCCTAAGTAGCCAGTTATAATTAAAATTAAGATAACATTCAGCATTGCTCACTTCACACAGGCTTCACAGTAACATTACAACGATGCCCTTTTGGCTTTTATTTTAGCTCTTAAGGCTTTGCAATAATGACACCACTATTAGAAAAAGTTTTCATTTTTCGTAAGATTAGCAAGACCTTACCTCATATAGTTAACTGAAATATTAATAGGAAAACACACTGTTGCACTCCTCAGCACAATGCTTTTTAAATGCGTGAAAGACTACAGCATAACAACGTTATAGGAACAGTTTACTGCTGTCCATGAAAACGGAAGATCAATACTGTTTCAGAAAGCAGGAATTATTAAACAAAATAAGCTTTTTTCACAATAGGAAGCATCAAAGCTGTTCAAGAAAATGGCGTAATCTTAGCTAAGACATAGCGTAAAGTGCATAGAAAAGGATAATTACCATGTTGACTTGCGCCACGGAGTAGATTAGCAGCAATGAGAAGACGGTGATGACCATTCGCAGAACGAAATTACGGCTGATGTCCCAGTGGATGCACTGTGGGTAAGAGGGGTAATCAAATCTCTGGTTGGTATCATGCTTATTGATCTCTCGTTCAAAATTTTCGAGAAAGGCATTAAAGGGGCCCTGCAACACTGCTTCAGGTCAGACAGCGTTGCCGATTGGTAGTCGAGACTCCCGAACACAGAACCCAAACACGAGCCAAACTTTACAGGGCAGCACAAGGCCTTGAATTTGCAATATTCAGTCAGCTAGACATCGTTTTATTTCCTTTCTAGAAATGATGACATATACCCTAATGATTGTGCCATATACGCAAATGCACGGCCAGTAGCTGATTTTGTTGAACTGCATAGTTACACAGCCCACCACAAATAGCCGCCCCATCTTCATGCACGTGCACATGATCACATCGAAAGTGAGCCGCGTGGGCGAAGACAAAAAACAAAAGGTGCTCAAAGTGGTCATGACGCATGCGTGACGTTCATTTATATCCCCCGTGCCATCTCTCCCTGTTCAGATTTCAACGCGGTAGTCGAAGGCGCGACAAGAGAGAAAGCAGTTACAGCCGGCAACAAAACTCTGTAACTCCCCCCATACTTTACCAATTCTAAAAACACTTCGGTGGTTGATTTGTGAGCCAACATGAACTTCTTTAACGAAGCCATTCGATGGTTACTAGGAAAAGTGTTACAGGGCTTCTTTAAGAAAGAGTTTGAGGCACCAAGTCATTCATGTGTACAACTGAGAGTTGCCAGATGCTATCGAGCTAATAAGCAAATAATCATCGCAAAAGAAACCCGAAAAAGTGGCATGAATTCTGCAAAGAAGCCCAGAAAAAGCAAAAACATGAAAAGCTTTCCATTCTTGAAAATATCCTAAATTATCATAAAGAATTTCACTCAAGTAGAAGGGGATTTGGAAAAAATCACTTTACTTATCGTATTTACTCGCGTAATGAAAGCACTTTTTTCTCGAAAAATCGTAGCAAATGTTTAGGGGTGCGTTTATTATGTGGGAAAAATTTTATGAAAACTTCTTCAGAATGAGCAAAAAATGTGGCAATGTAAAAAAAAAGTTAGGTAGCTTAGCCTTTTGCAATTTACATATGTGTGTGCGCTGTGTGGAAACAGCGTCCTTGTTGCACTTCCCTCATCTTCTGTCTCTGCATCACCCGTTCACTCCATAAACATGTTACATGGCTTTTTCCTCTCGCAATTGTTTAACCTGCAACTGTGGTATCTGCTGCTGATCTCGAGGGGCACCTCAGAAGCGTACGCTACGACACACTGTGCCAACTTTGTGACGACCTCGCATGATGACTATCCAGGATGATGCCGTTGACATTGCACCAAGCTACCACCGAAGCATTCAAAACAAACAGTTGATAACAAGATTATAACGACAAAATAAGGCTGCCGTCTCGCTGTTCATATGAAAATTACTGAAAAAATGTAGCCTATATCTTGCATTCCTTGAAGTACGCACAGATAACAAGCATGAAAAAAAAATTGCAATGAAGTGAGGATAGGGGGTGCTACAATGTTGCGGAAATCGTCACGATCTTTTCTGGGCATCAGGCGGTTTTTACTGGTTTTTTCAGAAGCCTGCGACACGATGGTGACAAATGGCTCATCGCGATAGCCATAGCAATGGCAAATCCTGTTGTCATCTCGCTCGAAAATTCCGGGCATGTGGATGGGCCTTAAAGTTTTGATCGAACGGTTGGCGCGGGCAGTTTCAGGACCTTCGCTCGCTGTGTGCTTATCAGCTACGATGTCTCTACACTCGCGCTGTTCGTGAACCCTGATGTGGCGCACGGATAAAAAAGAGACGACGGGGTATGTGCCACCCACAGATAGAAAGAACAATACTGCTTACCGGTGCCCTTTTTTTTTACTTACTGCAGTAGTGACACAAGGATAAACAGCAATACTCTATAGGTTGATGTCTCAGGTTAAGAGTACGAGAGAAAAACAACTCATTCAGGAAGGAAGGAAGAAAAGTGGTTAGGCCTACCCTGAGTTGAGCAGCCAGCACCAAGATGAGGAACATGGAGACGCACACGAATGCGGTCACCGACAGCACCACGAGGATCAGAGTCCTGAGAGAGAAGGACAGGCAGGAAAAAGAAAAGGCAGACAAACTAAAGTCAGTTCAAAACTAGTGCCATGACCTTAAACTCTCTTGTAAGCATAACTGCATAAATCTGTTGGAAAAAAAGAAGTGAATTCAAACAATGTTTCATGTTGTAAAACATACCTACTAATATATAGTAATTAGCCAATAGAAAACGTTATGAAAACAGAAAAAAAATTTCTGTGTAACTTGGCTTTGATCACTGCTATTGTAACAAAGTATACACTACACAAGCCATGCTTCTTCCTTCACTTTCACTAAAGAAGGACATAATGCATGAAACCTCACAACTGTGTACTACCTTAATTTTACCAATATGGAGTCTGTACCAGCCCAGGAGGGACTCAGATTCATGGCTTGTAGTATTTCTAACAGATGCATATGCCTTTCGTTAAGGACAAGCTTAGAGTGAGGAATATATACTTTACTTGAATGTTACTGCCCTGCATGAAACTCGGGTCATAAGCTGAATTTTTGATAAATGTGTAATCAATTTGTTATATATTTCCCAATGACTACAAAAGATGGGCCAACACCTTCTAGCAAAGCCTATAAATGTAGTAATATTAAGTGGTTCAGTGATGTCTGTTTCACTGGGAAATGAAAGCTAGGACTTGTTCGCACACGCACACATGCACATGCAGACAAGCACACTTTCTGCTGAACAAGGTTAGTTTGTAAATCAGTGCTTGAACTGTTCCTCTCTTTTATTCATGTGGAATTCTTAGCAAACAATAAATCAATAGCATAATTCACGATTTTACCTAGTCATACGTATATGATTCCATAATAACTGAGTGATTTGTCTAGAGCAAAAACGAGTAAAAGGGGCTCATTTAGAAATGCTTACAGCATGATTCAAGCAACTGATTCCTGAAATCAGACAAACATGCAGGTGACACGAAAGAGGGACGATGGCACCTCTGATTTCTTCACACAATGTCTTTACTTTACCTCATCATCTTCATATTTATGGTAACTAAATTATAGACCTATGTCACAGAAAAAATAAGTTAAAATCACTTGAAGCAACTGTTTGCCTATGCATCATGTTTACGGGTGAAAGAAAGCAAGAATGAAGAGTCAAAGTCATAAAGACTACCTATTTATTTAATAATAAAACTAACCACAAAATGTTCCTGGTTCCATTATTTCTCACTGATATCTTACCGCGTACTGCAATACGTGCCACTCAATGTCAGTGAAGTACAGACCATTATTCTGGCTCTGAGTCAAACTGTAGCGTTCTCTCCATAAAGATGCTATTCAGGTTAAGATGATAAATGAATGAAAATTCACATGGCCAGTCAGCCTTAGCGGTAATCAGTAGGCCGATCTTGAGCCATTCTTTGCAGAATGACTGCGAAGCCTGTCCTTAAAACAGTTTGTTGCGGGTCACCATCTAGTACAGGTAGCTGCCAGTATTTGTCGCCACACACGTGTCTTGTACGAATGGCGCATTGGTAAGCCGAAAGTGTAAGTGGCACTAAACAGCCCTGTTAATCCAAGCAAGGTTTCTGAGTGTTTCCTACCTTGGTAGCACAGTGGCCTCGACTCCACTCAGCAAGAGAAGTACTCCTAGGATGCAAGCGAGGCTGTTGCCAAAGCCGTGGTCCTTCTCATGGTGGTACTGTGCGACAAAAAATGAGAGAAGCTTCGTTTCAATGTTCAGCAGAAGAACAAGATTTAGAAATGCTGCAAGAACACATGTTAAATGTTACTACACTGAAATGCCCAGAACACAATAAAGCTAGGGTCAATTGCTTGTACTGTGCAAGGTGCAAAACAAAAACCTACAAGATATTATTAAAGCTATTGGCAACTAACCACAGTCATTTTCAATGAAATAGAAATAGCTAGCAAGTGTGAAAAAAAGAGAAAAAAAAAAAGAGTACAAGTAATTTTTGTTAGTTGGATAGGCTGATAAGGAAATTGTGTTAGATGAAAATTGATTTCATAAATCATCATGTTTGGGAGCTGGTGAACTCAGACATAATATACACTCAAACTACGTTATAACAAAGTTGCATCCTACACAAAGATAAGATTGTTATATCCGAAAATTCGGTATAACGGTATACTCCTAGCACTGTACCAGTTGCAAGACTATTCTTCATTTACTTCTTCATAACCGATATTTCATTATATCTGGGATCGTTACGTCGAGGTCCGAGTGCCATTGAAGCGCAGAAGTTCTGTGAAATGCAGAAAGCACACGATCCAACCTGACTTGTCGCCTTCCTGTGACTTGCCTGTCGACACAGTTTATCTTAAGACCTGGCGACTAGCCTTTTGTCTATCAGTTTAGATATTATGTACAAATGTCAAATCGTTAGTTATTAAAACTAATTTGTTTATTGGTTGTTTGAATGATTGATAGCTCTTCATTGCTAAGGTTGGTTTTAATCAGCTTACTATACCTTGCCTGTTAACACCATCTGTTAGTAAGTTGGCTGTCATATTCAAAGTACCAGAGCAATTTTTACTATTATAGATACATTGCGCAGGCAATTCATTCAGCGGGGTATCAAAGTAGCTATAACTATGCCAAAACATAACTGGACCCCATGCTGTGTGTCAAACGTTACAGCGATTTGTTAGACGCCGTAAATGCCTTTTCTCTTCTCTTGTCCCGATTAGCGCGCTGGAAGCTAAGCAGGGATGGCACGAGGAAAAAAAGTCTCACGATGCGCGCATACTACCGATCCGCAGCGTTTTCTGACCATTCCGAAAAAGAGTTGAAGGGAAACATGCAGTGTGCTAAAAAATGATAGTGCAATGCCACAAGGGTTACCTGTTCCTCCTTTGTCTTGTCCTTGAACCAGAGGGTGAGCATGTTGACATGATTGGACTTCTCTCGGTCCACGCTGCGTGCCTCGATGGCTTGAGCCAAGTACTTATTTATTCGATTGCTTGGCTGATGGTACACCACAGAATGCCTGCCAAAAATAGAAAGGTTTTCCGATCTTAACACAGGACTTCCTGCTTTTCTATTAGAAATCATACATTATGAGGGTGACTTTCTACTCAGTGTTGGGCAAGTCGGCTTGCACAATGTTAACGAACGATAACAGAAATTTGTGACAACACATAATGCAAAGTGTTGACATACTTATCAAGAAGTGCCACAGTCGAACCCCTTTATAAGAGACACTGATATAACAGACGAATGGGTATAAGAGACACCAGTGAGCCTACTGTGAAATACCGGTGGATAAGAAAATGCATATGAAGTACCCTGCTTATAAGAGACAACTCATATAAAAGACAAGAATGGCTGTCCGAAGCATGCCTCTTATAAAGGGATTTAACTGTACTTTATTTCATATTTGTAGACTATCTATCAGGAACAAGATGCTTCGTATTCACTAAGTTTTGCCAGAAAGTTCTTATACAAGAAAGCAGTGAAGAGAGCAGATGTGTCGTGTGAAATGTTGATTTTTCCAATGTTGTCCATAGGGGGTGTGCGAATATTCTAAATTTCGAACATTTTTTTAATAGTGTTTGTTATCTGATTTGATCTGCCTTGGAATTTTACTGTTCAAACTATTGTAACTTCCCAAAGACAAATGCAGTCGACACTAAATTGAAATTGACTCCTTCAAATTTTTAATATGCCTCACCCCATCACACTCTCGTACAGCGGCAAAGCTGCCTTTCACGCTGTGCTATGGTTGAAAATGTATTGACTCAAGAAAATGCCTGTTTCAACATGTAGATGATGAATATGGAAGAGGTGGGGGGTTCAATAATGCTGTTTTTGACCCAAAATTTGGGCAGGAAGTCGGAAAAATTGGACGCCAAAGATTTATGGCTTCCAAAGCTGCAGATGTTCTTATATATTTACGTCTACGAGACAGATTCGGCACTCCTAGACTTGAAGGGAGCACATTCTAGTCAGCCACATCAGTTGGGCTTCCGCAGAAGTTGAAGGAGAGGCGGAGGAAATGGCATCTTTGCCCATCACGTGTAAAGTGTTGTAGGCAGCCCTTTGATTGCACCAAATCATGTGCGCCAACTATTCGGCTTCTGCATTGCCCGATTCTTGATAAGACAACTGTGAAACACCTCCCCACCAACGCTTCATCAACCTAGCCAAAAGAAACAATTTCATGTTGCTACCTCATAAGAATATGCTTAATAATTCTCTCCAAGTTTTTTTTTAAACCAAGTATTTGAGAAATATTCTAGAAATATTCAAAAATATTTCATTTAATTCTCACTCACCCTTCAATATTCGAATTCACTTTGCACCCAGAATGATGCTATTTTCACTAGCTTTAATTGACTAGCTGTTTTCAAAAGTTACAAATTTAGGTCACTATAAAAATTTTCAGTTATACAATGCAAAGAGAGAAATCAAAATATAAAAATAAAATGCAGCTTATGTACTGCTGCCTCCATTGAAGAAATAACGTAAAATTTTAAATTCTGTTCTTTGACGTTTCTACAAATCTAGTGGTTGTGAGGAGAAAATATGCAGTACTGAGCACATTCATGCACTGAAGCTTTTGAATATTGAGCTCGCTATATGAAAAATTTAATAGTACCTTTTCTTTAGTGGTTTGTGCAGTTTATCAGTAATCTTGAACTGGAAAAAAAGAACGTAAGAGAGCATAAAAATTTGCACGCACACTCTGCAAGTTCAGCAATGACAGTACTATTCGAATAACATAATGAAAGTGAAGAAAAAAATTAGATACCATACAGTAAATGTTTTGAAATAGCTCACAGATTAAAGAAGAAGCTAAGCCAGCCTGCAGTTTTAATGGTGCTCCCTTGCATACCTGCCATATTCATCACGCTGTATCTACCATATTCATCAAAATAAACTTCTTTCCTGTCCATATAGTGTCAATTTCACGCTGCCGAGATTTTCGACAGCGATATATTATACATCATGTTACCTGCACATCATGTTGGATGGCTACAACCAGCATGCCTGGTACAAATTTAGATATCATTCGAAGTACTCAAACATAGCTGAAACCTGATGCTGCACAGTTTCATAACTGATGAAAACACCACCCTCTGGTGCTCCAAGCAAAGAAAGTTAACCAATCCAATGCAAAGTGTTTATGTGTACAAGTTTTTTTCAGAGTATGTAAACTATAAAGACCTGCCTGCACGCCTTAACACTAAAGAGCCAAATTATTTTTCTTGCATTAGTAAATGACACTTCTAAAATAGCAAAAAACGACTCCTGACATCAAAAGAAGCTTCGTTCACCAAAAAATGCTAAAAAAAAAACGCAGGTGGCGATGTTGCTCTTGAAGTTCCTCCACCGCCACAAGTGATGTCGCAGACTGGGTACAGTGTTAACTAGAGCAGACATAACTCGCCAGTGGAGAAAATGGCTTATATTTTGTTCTAAAAGACCCAGCGACTGTATTTTTATTCATTTTTAAATATTTGATTTATTTCGTGCTGCCAGATGATATTGAGTTTTAGGCAGAAACTCCTATACAAAAAAATATGCAAGAAGCTTGTCACAGCATGCAACAGCCAGAAAATTATTTAATATCGCAATAAAGATTATAACATATTGCAGGTAAAAATATTAACTGAAAATTCAGACTGTACATGTAGAAGTAATGGTATTGTAGAGAAAAACATTGATAAGTAGGAAAAGCTTCACCATAATGGGCACGAGTGTCACTAAAACACTGCTTAAAAAAAATTAAGATGAGGATAGAAAAAAAAAACCAGGTAACTACATGATAGAGCGCACGTTCATGCAATGGCTCACTCATGCAGGGTGAAAAAGCATGCCTGTATTGTCCGTGTACATCACACTGCCAAAAATATTTCAAGTTTTGATAAATTTTATTGAGCCAAATATATCAAAAGGATAAAATCCGTGACATAACGCCGACATTCAGGTGCGAGGGCCTTGGCATAAAATTCAAGCACAAAACATTGATGCTTGTATGTCTTCCTCTAACAATGAACTTTTGATAGTAAGATTAAAAGAACAATAGAGTTGTGAAAGGATGTTTTACCAGTCTAAGCTACTCAGTGTTCCACCGTAATATTACTTTAACGCAGCACCTAGTTATAGACACCATTAACGAGCAACTTCTAAATTGTACCCAGTAGAAAACAGATCACCTTTTTGCTAGGCTGCTTCTCAGCTGTACCACTGGGGCCAGGCATGGCCATGTTGGCAAAGGGCACATCAATGCTGTACTTGATAGAGTGCAACAGCTGCACCACCACATTGGAGACATTCTTGAATGACAGCTTGCGACCAGCCATGCGTCGAACGTGCAGCTGGTTAAACAGCATCGTCTGTATTAGAATAAGAAAAGCAGCTGTTAATTGAGATGTACCACCATAAACAACTGCAAATTTCAGGTCTCTTGCTCATCTTTTAATAAGTGACTGTTGTGTCCTCGCAATGTTAACACTAAAAGAAAGAAGGTGTATGCTCCGTCGCGGTGGTCTAGTGGCTAAGGTACTCGGCTGCGGCGGCTGCATTTCCGATGGAGGCGGAAATGTTGTAGGCCCGTGTGCTCAGATTTGGGTGCACGTTAAAGAACCCCAGGTGGTCAAAATTTCTGAAGCCCTCCACTACGGCGTCTCTCATAACCAAATGGTGGTTTTGGGACGTTAAACCCCCCATATCAATCGAAATAAGGTGTATAGGGATAGGTCTTTAAAAAGCTGTATTTATGATAATGAAGAATAAGTGAACTATACTATATGATTCAAAGCTGTCTAAGTTTTGGAAACTTATCTTACCAAAACTACCACACAGTGCTAAGCAAGCATCTCTTTATGGTTAAAGAAAATCAGGCAAGATTTGGAAAGGGGTCCTAGTTCAGTTGCGGTCCAAAATTCGAGATGGCAGTGGGACAGCTGCTAAGAAGTGTTTTAACGACATGCTTTATTGAAAATGCATTGCATTTACTGTTTAACAACGAAAGCTGTAACGATATCTCTTCAAGCGCCAATTTCACCATCGTAGTTGTTCGCCACCACCGCCGTGTCCGTAACTGCTATCGCGTGAAATAAGAAAAAAGCAAATACATTAAAAATATCTCGGGCACAGTAGGATTTGAACTTGAGCCCTCTGTGTGACAGCCCAGCATTTTACCCTACAGTTACGCCGGTATTCAAAACTCCGTTGCAAACAGACCCTATGCAGGCCTCACGTAGGGTAAGGAATCACACTCACATGTGTAACAGAGGGTTTTAGAAGAGTAACTTAACAACTAGGCGTCACAAATTGCAAATTGCATAACGAGTGGGTCAGTGAATGCTTCATACCCATTACGAACTCTCGGCCATAATTCTTCGTCATCATGCACAGCATCAACAAAGCACAAATATTGCCTCAAAGGTGTGTAGCAGGTACCATGCTTCTTCAAAGAGTGACGAATAATGGCATAGTGGGTGCTACCACACTTAAAAATTATAATGATTTATGGCACAGTGCGTGCTATGCTGGTGTTGCAGCAGTCACCCCAAGAGGGTCTAAATAAGAAATACTCTAGAAAGGCTGCTCTTCCAGCTTTTGCTATGAATATGCTGTGGGTGCATGCAGGCCTCGCATGTTTTTTTTTTTTTGGTTTTTTTAACTGAACTGGAGGGAATTCTGGTGTGAAATTTGATGTATTATGACAAGGGCAGCCAAAGATGGTCCTCAAATTTTCCGATAATTTGTGACAACTTGAAATGTAAGGCCGAGGCACCGCACAGTAAAAGTACTAAGAAATTGTGCACATATCTAAAGACTCTCAGAACTTGGGTTTCAGGGAACCTCTGCTGCAGAACTGGAGGACAGGTGGTAAAAAAATGGCAAGAGGGGAAGGGTGTGGAAAAAACTTACTCAGTCATTGGCGCGTATTCCCAATCTTCCGAAAAGAGGTAGCAATCACTTACTTGGGTAGGAGTGCTTGCTCAAGATTTCGCGGTAAGGACATGTTATGTGAAGCATGGTCATATAGAAAAAGAAAGAGCACGGGAATGTTTTATGCCATAATAAAAGCTTCAATGGCTTTAAACCATGAAAGAATCAGCCCTGCTTGCCGCATTTACCTATGCATTACGAGGTGGTACTGATCCCTGCTGAAATAAAAGGGGGGGGGAGATCGAAAGGGCCTTTGCATGGCTCAGGGGTGAGATCAGACATTCCCAGATTAAAGTAAACGTGATGAACTATGTGTCACGTTACGACAGAAGTGCTGGAAAGATTGAGCGCACCTTTCTCCTGTGTGCGGGTGGTCGAATGAAATAGGTGTTGACATTGTGTTCACGCAAGTAGCTGTTGCGCTCCTGCCCTCTGCCTGGCTCCAACTGGTACTCGCCGTGCAGACACTCTACAGTTGCCTCTGTCACATGTACACGCCTGCGAGGAAGTGAGAGAGTGAAATCACACAGATCAGTACATATTGTTATGGTTAAGAATTACCACTAGAACCTACTGTGGAGGTGTAATCAATTCATACAATGGCATGTGCTTGCACAACCGAAACAGACTAGCTCCACAACAGAAAATCCTTTTCGAAGCTAGAATAAGCTGATCTGAAATGACACTCAAATACCTCTGCTGTGTACCGATAGATAAACAGATACACCAAATCGAACCAAATAAAATGAATAAATGAATAAATAAATAGATCGATCAGTCAATTATACTTCTAGGGCTGTAGCCTTAACTCAACTCCATATCTTTCTCTCTTGAACTAGGGAGTCAACCCACATTACTCATATTCGGACTGCAAGGATATGTCTCACCTTATAACAGAATGCATACAGTCTATCTTATATATTACAACACATATTTCTATGCCATAGAAAAAATGCAACTAGCTTCTAATTATGTGAGTAAAATTCAATCGCACTGATATCATTTTTCTTCTGTTGCTATGAATCACAAGATGAAACAGATTCCACTCGAGTGTGGAAGTACTATAAAATAGTAAGAGCAAATCTACAGAAAACCGGTGAATTTGGGCAGCCAGATATTGTAATACACATAGTTAACAGTAGCACCATTGGTTAGTTCCAAATTGAATGACAGATTAACATGTTGCGACATCATTTGCACTTTGTTAGCAACAGTTGATTTGGGTTCTCCTGGCATACGTGGTTGCGATCTACACACATGTCACTTCTTCGGTCAATCTTTCCTTTGTCACCGTGAATTTACAGCGTTCTCAAAATGTGGAACTGATGTTGCTCCCTCTTGGCACCATGTCATACACACCCTGGGATGCCGCCAGGCCTCCATTGCATTGGCCAAAGTGACATCGTTGGACCAGACATCGTACTGCCATTTGCGCAAGCCCAGCACACCGCATAGGACTCGGCCTGTGTGAATGCCTACTCGCATGTTGAGTTGCACGTCTGTGGCTTCCACGACAGACCTGCAATGGGTCAAAGCACGAAGGATGAAGGCGCTTTTTTGCTACTCTTTTTGCAGCTTGAAGTGAAAGTAAACATCGACCTAATGAAGCTAGAGGACGCACAGGGCCTACTAAATTGAGAAGATTGCTGAACAGAAATCATTGAAATGAGCAATCACACAAATGATATACCTAACTCAAAAAAGAAGAACCATTATTTTTGCACCTGTACACACTTACCGCAAGCCATGAGCTTTGTGAGCGGCTGTTGCATACTATGGGGGGGAGAGAACTTCCTTAACAAATCAGTGGCTTTTGCTGCCTGAAATAAAACCTAGTGTGCCCATACCTTACTCATATTTTGCCCTAAACTTCATTGATTGGCTGAAATATCGAGCTTGCTCTATTTCTGCAATATTTTTAATAAGTTAGGTCATTTAGCACACCTGGCATGCTAAGCTTTGTCAGCAAAACAGATCAATCAACAATTATGTTAATAACACTGTTTATTTTCATTCCTTAGGCAAAGACTTGAAGGCTTATCAAGCTTGTTACATTAATGATTGTGCAACAGCCACACAAGAAATGAAATTTCACGCAAACATAACGACTTTTCACTACAGAACACAAAAAAAAGAAAACGCCAGCTCTACGCGGAACATGCAGCACAATCAAAGCAAAAACTGGAAGAGCGGCCTTTTTACAGCCTCTTTTAAACGCTCTTTGGGTAACTGCTACAATCACACTTGCAGGGAACCCACTACACTATTAATCATCATAACTTTTCTGTAGTAGGGAGGCATTCACTGCGCCATCTTTCGTCATTCTTCGAAGAACCGTGGCACTACCCGCTACACAGCTGCAAGAACTTTTGTGCAATTTTTCGATGCTGTGGCTGACGATGAAGAATTATTCCTAAAGCTTTTGTAATGGGTTGGATCATTCAACAGCCCACTCGTTATGTGATTCGCAATGTGTGATGCCTTGTTTCTCTTTTACTGTTCTAAAACACTTTATTACTCGTATTAACTGAGATTCTTTCCCCGACATCCAAGCCTGCCTAAGGCCAGGTTTGCAATGGAGCTTCAGGCACTGGCATGGCTCTGCAGTAGTATACTGTGCTCGCGTGCAGGAGACCCCAGTTCGAATCTCATAGTGTCCTTGGTGTGTTTTGTTTACTTTGTTTTTTTTTTCTTTCTTATTTTGTGCAATAGTGGTTACTGACACCGGCAGGCAGCGGCAGACAACTACAGCGCACGTGATCCTTGTTGTGATCGCTGTAAAACAATATTTTAAAGTGTCACTTCTTGTACAGCCTTAGTATGCACTATTTACTTGTCCTTCTTCAAGAAGCCGAAATTATTAATAAGTTATCAGGTAACTCTTACTGCATGCAATGTCATGCCATGCCACATTTGTAAGAAAACATGATCAGACACCGTAACAGTTTCTACTTGACGATATGCTTTAGGCGTATTAATACACCCTAAGCAAGCTTCAATGGCAATACTTTCATTGAGAGAGGTTAAATCGTGCTCAAGAGATGCTAAGGGTTGCTGCAGAATAGTGTTAGTACGTAATCATGGTATAATATTAGCCCTCGAATGAGACCCAAAGCATATTTTTGATAGCAAAGAAAGCAAGCGGCACTCACGCTATAGCGTCAATCATGTCTAGCCCCATCTCAACAGTGCAGTGAGCATGGTCAGAACGAGGCTCGGGTAGGCCGCTCACGCAGTAGTAGCAGTCACCCAAGATTTTGATGCGCAGACAGTGATTGTCCTGAAAACAAGACACAAAGAAACTTTCCAACAAGAGAAAACTTGCAATGCTGAAAGATTTCCTGTACTTTCAATATCATGCACAAAATTACAATCACAGACAAAAAGCTCTGTGACAGGTGAACTCACATTAGCCAGCTGGTCAAAACGTCCGAATAGTTCGTTCAGGAGCCGAACCAATTCTTGGGCACTACACTGAGAGGCTAGCACTGTGAAGCCAACGATGTCAGCAAACAGGATGCTGCAAGAAGAATAAGCACGCCAATATTAAAGTACAACAATAAAAAAAAGGTCTAAGAGCTGATGAGTTAAGCCAAACATGCATCTTTTTTCAAAACAAGCTTTCATTGTGGTTTTTCACTGTTAAGCCCCAACAATTCTTATTACAAAACGGGTTCAAAAGTTCATCACTACTGCAGAAGTACCTGGAATGATGTTGCACTTAAACTGCACAGAGAAACAAAAAATATCTTAAGCTACTTTCAAGTATGCTTACGAGGCCAAAAAAAAAACTTCTAACTCAAGTATTCAGCACATTAAATCCTTGGAATGACAAGTAACTGTCAATTTGAAACTTTTCTGAACAAACCAAGTGAATATTTGTGTGATATTCTCTATTTCCTTGGACATGACAGATACGTGTGCTTAATAATAGTCGTGTTTTTTTTACATGAGTATTCAAATCTTATAAAATACTACAAAAGCTTGGAGAATGCTTAAGCTTCGCTTTCTAGAGTAGCATGCGACAGTGCAATCGATCCCCATGCCCGCATCTTCTCGACTGCTTGACTAGCTTCACTTCTCAATGGATATCCAATTGTGCCACAAACAAAACGAACCTCTGTGAACATACATATTTGTATACATGCATGCATGTATACAAATGCATGCATGCATTTATACAGATGCATGCATGCAGGCACGCGCACGCATGCACACACACACACACACACACACACACACACACACACACACACACACAACACACACAACACACACACATGTATGTGCCTACATACATGCATGCATGCATGTATGTGCCTACTTACATGCATGCATGCATGTTTGTACGTATAGGCATTTGGTCACTGATGTTCATGGCACAAGAAATAACTTGGAACACACTCAAGCTTGGCCTTCAAGAGTAGAATTCAAAATCGTAATAATTGGGCCTTTTGCACATCCATCGTTTTCTCAATTGCTAGCTTGGCTTCAGTTCTCAGTGCAAGCCTCAACCGTGCCATAAAAAACGAATGATTGTGCACATATCATTAGCCGTTACAAGCTGTCCTATGATGCCTACTGAAAGAACAGTTGTGAAGTACCCACTAAACCATAATTCTTCGTTTGGCATATCAGTGAAGGGCCCACTATGTGTTCATAAGGCAACACATCAATCTACACAACTGCTCACTTAGTCAATGCTTTTGCTGATTGAACAGGTTTGAGTGCACTGTGACAAGTTGACCTTTAAAACCCTTTGCACAATTCGCATGTTTTGATGCCTGGCATGATATTGCGATCGTGTCATGTATTATGTGCGTTAAGGAGGCTCCTCCCACTACACGACATCAATACAATGTTCTTTGTTTTTCCCGAAGCAGTTTCAAGCAACCGCGTAGCTTTTAGATGGAACACCTGCTCGTCACGCAGCAGGCCTGAGCTCTGTTGTGGCTCGAACCAATTTTTTTTCTTTTTGCATTTATTTTATTTGCACCTTTTTAGATTTTCCGCTCACAGACAATGCCGACTTTTCGGCCAGTGCCCATGCCACAATTTTCACCACACGAGCTCTTTAACACAGGCATGTTAAAATCAATACGGGTTCATTCGTAAGAGGTTCATGTAGTTACTTAAGTGACTGAAATGCCCCTTTTGCATCAGACCTAAATAAATATTGGGCTGGGAGAAAACAGTATCACTACAACATCTGTTGAATGATTTTGATGATATCAATTCATACTCAGAATTTTAAGAACAACACCCGGCCAAGATCCATAGTCAGCGATGTAATACATTCAAGCACATCTATGCTGTGTATGTGTGCAAATATCGTTCTGGTGTTTCACTTTCCCAATGAAGTACTCATTACTTATGCTTGTTCACATGGGTTCATATATTTGCAGGTTATGAACAAAGTGGGCCACTTTTATCATTTCCCTTTTTTTTTCCCCTTCCAACTGCAGTTCTAACTTTGCAACATTATTGCCTTGTACCTTCCATATTCCTCCAAGTTGTTTATATTTGAACATGAATTACATAGTACAGGATAGAAAAAAAAAATTCGAGCATTACATACCTGACATTTTCATGCTTTTGTATGTAGATCTTGTGGAACTGGCCAGCTCGGGGAGCTATGATGTCTTCTTTCATCTCCATGGCAACATGTTGTGGCAATACACTGAGTAGTAGCCGTTCCTGTGAAATAACCCAGAGGCCACTTACTTGTACCAATCTAACTACTCCACAATTGAAACTTCATCAAACAGTTTCTAAATGAAAATCGCTTTTATTAAAGGGCCACTCACCAGGTTCGACAATTTCGAGCTTGACAAGCGCAATGCGTAGATGAGACGTTCATGATCACTTCTGCCAAAATTTGTAACGCTATGACGCCGCGGAAATGGGTCAAATTTCAATATGAACGCTGCTCCCCCTTCCTTTTTTGGGCGCATGCACAAAGAATGAGGGCATGACGTGCGCATATGAATGGCCTTACGTACACACGGCAATGCAGTGGTGTTGGTCATCTACGTAGACAACTGCGCTCGGACGTTGTCAACAGTATACCATGTGACATGGCTTATATAATTTAACACGACATGCGTAGTTTATGTAATTTGTTGCCTGAAGAGATGAATAAAACTTGAGATAAATAATGAGACGCAATATAGAAATGTGCGCATCTTTCTTTCATTTTTTTGCGTGAATTGCAACGAAGTGCGGGGCTAATGTGCCAGCGTTTCGCATGCGTTCGTGTCCTCGCAGTCAGCGCATCGAGCAGACGACAGCCGTGGAACGCTCCTACGCGTTAGTGCACTCATTGTGCTCATCTATTCTACCGCGTCTAAGCCATTGTTTCCAAACCATCCCACAGAAACAGGCAGTACACCTCAAAGCAACACTGGTCAAAATAAATAAATAAATAAATAAACGCTGCTCGCGTGCACGGCGGTTGGGCTTCTTCGGGCACGTCATGCGCACCTGATCTCTTGGTCGGATGCTGGAGAGGGTAGGGAAGAATTCGGCTTGCGAAGGCTACACGGAGGAGCAGCAAGGGTTTGGAGCTCGCCTCCTCTCATCCTCGTTTCGCACCGCTTCAAAAAAAAAAACTGTTTTCTCAGCTTGCAATGAACCGATTAAAAAAATTCTGTGGCAAAATGTTCCTCATCGGACACCGAAAAACTTCCATGGTCTAACTAAAATTTGGTATGGGGCCTGGTGAGTGGCCCTTTAATGCTGCTTGTGAGTCAGGCTTGTGTTAACACAAATTCTTCATTTTCTCAGTTTAGTGAGGTAATGGTTAGCAGTCGTTTCTATTTCTCAAAGTTTTGTTGTACATTAGGTGCAGTTTCAGTGCTTTCAGAAGACATTAAAGTTTCAAAGAACAAGGTGATTTGCACACAGTTTGTGGCCCTCTGTCTGTGCACTCATGCTTTATATCTTTGTACTGCTACTGAAGAAACACTCTTCAAGGTGCGAGCAATAAAAGTGTGATTATCAGTGAGCTTACAGCCACAGCTCAAAGGATATTGTGGGCTGAAGCACTAAGCAACAGTTTTCATGGCACCCAGTGCCAATGGTGCAATATACTGTGCTGGTACCCACATACCACCCACAGCATCTTAAATTCACTGTCATTTTGCATTTTGCACTATGTTTTTCATTTATCTAATTGTTCCTCCTTACGCCACGCACTGACCTCAATATTAAATTGAAATTTGCATCCTACCTAAACCTATTTGAGGTGCACCATATTACAATTTTGACGTCACTGAGAGGAACTTCCTAATCTTTAAACCCTGAAGACATAATGCTTTCTTTTGTAGACATCTCATGATAACATCACATTTTTATTTTTATTTTTTTTCATGGCTAAGACCCATTACACAAATAGCATTAGTCAGAAGTACTAATATGTTGACAACATTATGTCATATAACTTTCTCATTCAGCTGAAACCTAGGCGGGTTTTTAGCTTGCTAGCTAAGCTCACACTTTCTCACGAGTATATGCCCTACAAACACACGCAATTGTAGAAGGTGAGAGCCAAGCTGCATATAACATGCGTTACGCTCTGTGTTTAGTAGTGGCAGGACTTGTATCTTACGAGTTTTTCATTCTCATCCTCCATGTGCAAACGGGCATTGATGCAGTTTCGTGTGTCCAGAAAGGCCTTTCGTTGAGCATGCTCCATGATGGAATGCACGAACACCCCCACCAGGTGGCCACATATAAACACTAGCACATTGGCAGCAACCTGCGAGTGTAAAAAAAAAGAAAGTGAAACACCACCAATCCTATTTATTGAAAACCTAATATTGCATTTGAAAGTCATAGTTTTACCACAAACAGAAAGGAATGAATGTGAGAGCAACAAATTTAAATGCTACATGAATTAAGGCTGGCAGTTCTCTCTTTTAGCATGAGACATGGTGTAACTCAACAAATAAGTGACATAAGGGAATGGAGCCCCTAAGGTGAGTGAAGCGACCTTCATGCTGTTTAGTACCCCTGTGCAGGCTTGGGTCGAGAGCACAACACTTAGAAAAGTGCATGACATCTGGTGATCTGGTCTGAGGATACAGCCCGCCGACCACACCCAGCTGGTCAAGGTCAAGTTACTACTGTAGCCCCGCATACCCCCCCCCCCCCCCCCCCCCCCCGTCCACCCTTACCAACACCCTTTAATGTGCCTTTCCTGCGACCGAAACGGCCAACCCGTTTCATCCCTGCTTATGCTGCGACCATGCAACGCTGGTGCCCTTTCACTCAAACCCTTTCATTTACACACAGAACATTCGAGGCACCAATGGTGTGGTCGAGCTGGACTTTATACAGAACATGACGGCAATGACGAAAACGCGCCTCCAATGTCCGTTTAATTGCTATCACGATAACAGTGTGTATTTAATAATGCTTCACCACAATTAAGGCATGAAAATGGAAAGATTACTGTGGCCTACAAATTCAAGGAGTTGACTACCTTAATTACTTCTAATGCAGTGGCACCTGCAGCACGGTGTTTTCGAAAGTGACTGCGAGTCTGCAAAATGACAACCATTTTTTTTATTAACGGAGAAATTCCCCTTACGCAAAAATCCTTCACATGGCCTCGCTTGGCCAGCTTTTTTTTTTTTTTTTTTTGCATAGAACGCAATTGCTGCAACACCCATGCATCCGTTTTGACAGCCCCTATAGATATTTGTGGGTGTACAAAGAGTGTTCTCTGTATTTCATCTTACAAAAACATGATATCCCCTCCCCCTCCCCATTACTTAGATACCATTTATTTATGCAACTCAATGATGTAAGAGATATTCTACAAGAAGTATAACTTTTCAAAAATCCATGTGGCGGTTCCACTATCTTCTGCGAGTCCCTTCACAATCAAATAGGTGTACACGTGCAGTTACTGTCGAAGGAGTTGACGAGCTGTAAGTTGCTCGGAATCTCATTGGCCTGAACTTCCTAGGAGATATGTGAACGATCGGGCGAACGCCAGATCAACAACACGGCCGCAGTCGCAGGAAGACGCGCGCGCGCGCGTCGAGAAATAATACCGAGAACATCAAGCATCCCCACCCTTTGGCCGATAATGGCCAGCATGCCTCCGAAACAGACAGGATGCGTCGGCCCGCGCCCATCCAGCAGAATTTCCCAGACAAAGAAGGTCTTTGAACGGAAGGATTGGCTCTATCCTCGAGTCTCTCGCGAGTCTGCAGGGCTGCGCGGACGTAAAGCTCATCAAGAACGCCGGCGCTGCTCTACCCAGACGCCGTCGCTGTCCCTGGGAAGAAAGGGGGGGCGTTCGCTCTCTGACAAGCCAGGCACCCCGTTCACGAAGACGTCGAATGCGCGCGCTTTCGGCGAAAGACGATACGCGCGCCATCGCTCTCCGCGAGTGCTGCTGCAGCCTTCCAAGTGCACTGTGGAGACTACAAGAACAAAACGCCATGTTCGTCGACTCCGCTTTCGAAGCGACAGCGCCGCAGGCGCGCTTTTATGCGCCGCAGCCGGACGGGATGGCAGCGCGCGCGCGGATAGGTTTACTCAAGGCGCCGCGACAATTCGATCGCGGACCGTGGAGCATGGCACCGACCAGTGGCATGACAGCCTCGAACTCGGAAGACGCGCAAGAACGCAGCGGCAACGAGATACAGCAAAGCGCGCACGATGGTTTCTTTTTAAGATGGTATATGCCACGTTGGCCGCAAAAAGGGTGTCCGGAAAACTTCGTGGGCACATTCACGCCACCCCGCACCCCCTTGAAGTTTAAAGAAGAGTCGCGAGAAAAGGAATATGTTAAGAAATAGTTGAATATATGCGACCTCAGACAGCGTTGCAAAGTTTTTTTTTTTTTTTTTTGAAATACGATTGGCAGACGTGTAACACACCCAGAACGTCACCAACAAATTTATATTGCCGTCCGAAGGCACCTCGTGTTCGCGGAAATGTCTGAATACGCGATTCAGATCTCGCGGGCAAACCCATCTACACAAAAGGAGCATTACAGAGCTGAAACGAACACTAAAGTGAAACAAAAAAAATCGAATTAGACTGACAATCTGTGAGCTCAAGCGAAGTCAGTTTCGTCATCATACTAATATAAAAGAAAATGGAGGTAGATGCTTTCATTTTTAAATTTCGCGCAAAAAATCCCCACGCGTGACGTCACGGATTGGCTCAACAAGTTTTTCTGAAATTGGGTACATCAAGTCACTGGTCCCCACCGCAAACCAACGTTACTAGAACCAGATCTGGTTCAAGCAACGTTGCCGCAAACAACGTACGCACCTTTCCACGCGCTACCCGCACATCGCACCCAACCGGACGGTAAAACGGGAATCGGCGACTCTTTTTGACCCTCCGCTTGGGTGCGGCAGGGGTCCAGGCACATGTGTGGCGGCTGTGCGAGTAGCGCATGGAAAAGGCCTGCACAGGCCCTAGCAGAACCCGTCTGCGACTATGAGGTCAATTTACTAATAAGATAAATGTCGTTTTCATCTTATAAGTGTCCCCATTATAATGCGCCGAAAAAATGCAAAACAACAGGGAATCGTAAAGTTGGCGCACCTAAGGCATATGAAGGACGCCAATCACCGCGAATAGTATTTAAAAAAAGAGAAAAAAAAAAGAAGAAAACAACAAACGAATGTCAGCAGAGCACATGCAGCGCTTTGCGTACGCAATACTCGATACACCGTTCTGCTACGTCAGGGTACGCTGTCAGGGTGCGCAGGTATGAAACTTACAATCATTGTTTGAACGCAGGCGTTTCAGCATACACACTGCACACACTTGCATAGCCGGAGGGAGACACACCTGGCCCGGGTCTCCCCCCCCCCCCCCCCCTCCGAATTATTGTTCCTTTTTTTTGCCATGACATACAGATCATTATATTACACTGTACCATAACTGCCTGTCCGGCCTTTACCTCGGATTAAGATGGTGCTTCTCCCCTCCTCCCGCCTCCATTTTTTTCTTTTTTTTTTTTCGTTGCCTACGCCCCTCGCTGCACACCATATTCGAAACAAATTTCGCGCCATCTTAGTAAGAAGCGCACAACTTATACACAGGAACACAAGATACAGACGCTTGACTTCAACTAAACGTTTATTGCAAACGTCAGGGTATAGAAATGGGCGAAAGAAAAGTAAAAAGCATGACAACAAAAAGCGCTCGTGCAGTGCCATACATTACTCATCCATATTTATCAATCACACCACAAAAAAAAAAATTCCTTCCGCGTGAGCGAAATATAAGGTTAGTCAACACACTCAAAGTCATCAAGTGTCATTTCTGTTCCTTCAACAATGAAACGGGTCTGTTACGATATAAAAGACATGTGTTGTCGAATAAGGCACACAACCACACTTTTTACAGTCAATCGCCAAGTGACCATCGCACTTTATGGTGTTCTTTTAACCTCTCATTAATGCATCTTTCACATATTACTCGGCCATTACTGGGGCCATCGCTGGAGGCCGCCACTTGTCCACGCGCGCGCGCGCGCGCGATCGCACGGGAAAATATTTGAAGAGAGAGAAAGATATATTATTAAGGTCACGAGGCGCGCATGACGCACTTTCTTCCACAGTGCCATCCCTCCCTGCTTCGCTTCCGCGCTTTCGTCGGGACAACAGAAGAGAGAATAACTCTGCTCTTACGGGATAGTTTCTGAAAATTTTCGCGGCGGTGATTTCATGAGGCAATAAGCTCTATAAGTGAATCTATTCCGTGGCTCATGGCTACCTAGAAAAGTGTTACAGCGTCCCTTTAAGTCGTGCTATCTCGACAAGCCCAAGCAGTCGTTTCGAACAGAGTATACAAGGAGTGGCCAGCGCTCTGCATGGCTGCCCTAATCACTCTTGTTTTTGTTGCGCCGTCTAGTGAAACTTTTTAGTCATCCCAGGATAACTGCACGATTTTTCAACCAAACGAGCACCTAAATGACGCCTAAGCGCGCCACTAAGGGCCTAACGACACGCTTTGCAGCGTGCACCAAGCGATGCTGCGCCAGCTAGCGTCGGTCGCTGCAACTTACAGCGGCGACGCACAAATAGTGCCACCTTGAACGCCGGGCGCATCAAAGGCGTGACAGCTGAGGTGAAAGGGACCCTTGAGGGCGAAACTATTTTTCGCGTATTAGTAAAGTACAATTTCAGAATTCCGAAAACACTTCTCCCGTTGCGACACAATGCTTGGTAAGCCAGATAACGCGCGAAAAGAAAATACGGGTGGAGGCGCAAGCTCGAGCTTACCGCACCTAACACCGTGACGTCATAGACTTTGAACGAGTCTACTGGGTCCTACGTAGCTTCCAATCGATAAAAATGCAGCACATGGTCATTTGTAAATGTCATAGACCTAGCCTACCAAGTTTCGTCAAATTTCATGGAGCCAACTTCGCGAAAATCTGAAAAAATGCCTTTTGAAAATTTTTTTGCGTCACGCACGGAGATTTGGGCGCCATATTTAAAAATGAAACTTGAACCTTGATTCGTGGTGGTGAGTTTCACCGTGCGAACCCAGACCAACCAGTCCAATGCGCTTATAGTCTTCAACACATGTACAGCTGGCGCGAAGGGGAATATGGAGAAATACCGAAAACGGTGCGGCCTCCAGCTGTCGACACAAGTGCCGCACCAGGGAGCCTTAGGTTACGAAACACTGCTTTCACATAGCGCTTGTCCGTTCAACTCGCATGACAGCTGGAACTGCAGATGTATTGGTGTGGGTTATCGTATACACTGATGTGTT